CCCTGAGAGAGAGAACTCAGATGCTGGAATAAAACATCTTGGAGAGATCCAGACAGAGGGAGATGGATCCTCTCGACCCAGGAAGAAACTAAAGGGAAAAGAGTTGGTCAAACATGCAGTCCTTGGGGTTACCACTGGAGCAGCTAAGATTAGTGGCCACAATGCTCTTGCTGGAACAACCCAAACTCACAGCACCTTGACTTGCACCGCTGCCTCCCCCCAGATCCATAGTCACACTGAAGTCGGAGGTTGGCAAGCCCAATGGAAAACAGAGCCAGTGTGGAGATCTGCATTAACCCATGGTGAGTGCTCAGAATAAGACCCTCTCACAGGAAAGGGGCGACCAACTGGATGACATGTTGGAATTGGGCAGGATGAGCCTAAACTAGGAATGGCAGTGACTTCAGTCAGTTACTCCCTTCCCAAAGCATATTTGGTGGGATCTGCTTGGCCTGGGTTACTCCCCTGACTGGGAGTAAGTTCTCCATAAGTCCTCCCAAACTGATTCTGTATGTGTAGCACACACTAATGCAATAAAAGCCCCCAAAAGTTGACTGGCCTGGAGGGGAGGAGACATCATATGCTGCCTCTGCTTGCATCTCAATGACCAACAGCAAATTGGAGAGAGTAGAAATCCCTAGTCAGCGCCCTTCAGAAGAACCATAACCAACAAGGAAAGGGGCTGAGACCTCCACTATACACCTATATGGAAGAAACCAAAAACATGACAAGAGAAATAAGAAAAAAACCCCAGCCCCTAACCCTGAGAATATTGATCCAGGAGAGGTAAATACAGAAGAAATTGAGGGTAGAAAACATGTAATAGCAGACATGGCATCAGTGGACATAAAGAGATATCTTTGGGACCTCATAGATGAGCTCAAAAGTGAAATATTAATTCAAGTAAAGCAAGATATAAGCAGATTAAGAAAAGAAATGCTAAGCACCTCTCAAGACACAGATGGAAGAATGGAGGAACACAAAAAAAGGAGAGAAATGTTCAATGAAGAATACAAAGAAAACCTAGAATACATGAAACAGATTCAAAGAGATTACCAGTAAATTAAAAACTCCATTGAAAGCTGGCAAAACTGCTTGAAAGAAAGAGGTCCACATAGAGGAAGATGGATCTAAGAAACTAAGGATAGACTATCAAAATTTGAAGACAGATTTGCAATGTGTGACCACGAAAGGAAAGATCTCTTAAAAATAACAAGGAAACAGGCAGTAACAAAACAAAGGCTAGAAGATGACAAGAGGATCTATAATTTAAGAATAAAAAGTGGATAAAGAAGGAATGATAAAAACAAAGGAAATACAAAGTGTCTTAGTTACTTTTTATTCATCAATGAGACAAAATACCTGATGACCAAAGTTGGGAAAGTAAAGGTTTATTTCTTACAGTTTTTTGGAGGTTTGAGTCCATTCTCAGTTGGCTCCAAAGGCATGGTGGCATGGCGGGGCTGCAGTTCATAGTGGCTGCAAACAGCAAGGCAGAAACTGGCAAGAGAGAGAGCAAGACACACCTTCTTCCTGCCATTACATTACATCCTGGCTCCACCCCCAAGCCAATGTAGCACTCACACCCCCAATCCAAGTGCTAGACAATGAACCAATTACAAATGCACAATGCAAATGCATGAGGCCTGGGGACCACCAACATAAACTATGACACAAAGGCTATTCACAGAAATAAGTAAAGAAAACTTCCTAAGGATAGGAAAAGGAAATGATATTCAGATGTATGAGGCATACAGAACTCCAGCCACCTATAACCAAAACAGATCTACACCCAGATATATAATAATAAAGATCCCAGAAATTCAATGTAAGAACAGAATATTAAAAGTCGTCAGAGAAGAAAAACAGATCACCTATAAAGGAAAATCCATCAGAATCACAACAGACTTCTCGACACAGACCATCAAATCATCCAGAGCTTGGAGCAAAATATTCCAAGCTCTGAAAAAAAATAACCTCCAGCCCAGATTGATGTACCCTGAAGAACTGTCTCTCGTAATTAATGGAGAAACAAGATGCTTCCATGACAAAGAGGAACTGGGGGGATTCATAACCACCAATCCAACCCTACAGAGAATACTGAAGGACATTCTAGAGAGAGAAAAAAAATACCAGGATATCAGGAACGGTGGCAGAGAGGCCTCAATGAATGGGCAGACAGTGCAATGAAGGAGAAAAGTAGACAACCAGTGGCAAAAAAAATAGCATAGCAGAAATGGGGCAGGGAAGGTTGGCTATAATTTCTAACATAGGTGGCCTTGATACACTAAAAAAAAAGAAAAAAGAAAAAAAGAAACACAGGTAAAGTAGATCAAGAGGTAGGGTCCACCAAGATGCTCTGTACAGGAAATATAATTAACCTTAAAAAGGGTTTATGGACTGAAAATCAAATATGAGAAAAACAATGCTCTATGTGACAGGGAGCCAGAGAAATAAGGGCAACTCGACCAGCACCTGCAGGTAGGTTGGAAAGACAGGATACTTATGTGCAATAGAGAACTACCTAGCTATAAGGAAGGAAAACTTTGAGGCTTTTGTAGGTAAAGGAATACGACTTGAGATCTAGTCCAGGAGTGAGTAGGTGTGGAACCACTTAGGTAAACAGCAGGTTGCCCCCCACCCCCAATCTAAAAACTGAGCGAGTTGGTGGGACCAAAAATGTGCAGTGTACCTGGTGGGAGTGAACAAGGAGGAATAGTCTAAAAGAGAAGGCAGAGGATATTGTTAATTGTGTATCAGGATTTAAAATCCACATTACTCACACCGCTCTGTTTAGATGGATTATATTCTGTTCCAGTTTGTCTACTTGTACTAGATTTGAGGCCACAGACAGCTATTCCGAAAATAGCAGGATATAGTATGGTAATCATTCTCAATTTCCTATTGAATTTATTTGAAGCCCTGTATAACTTACACAGCTTTATCATGACTGATCTTAGTTGAATCTGGTTTGTTAGATTGCTGCTTTGTATTGACAGATTTCATTCAAATCTGTTATGATTGACAGTATCAAGTCTGAGAGTATAGGCAACCACACTGAAGATGACACAATTCATTAGGATATCGGCTCTGGTTTGATTATTACCTGCTTTTGAAGTTTTACACTGTCTACAATATTTTGTTTTTATTAATAATGTTACGTACTGCTATGTTTAATTATACCATGCCTGATGATACACACAATTCTATTGAAGATAATGAGACAACACAGTACCCTTTGTAGATCACCTTTTACTGTGATTTTATATGACTATTTCATTTCATGTTTTTATAGGAATTTGTTTTTTCCTTCCAATCCAGAAAGGATAGGTATAGAGACTCATGCATGCGTAGAACTATAAATATGAGAACTGATCATATAATGCATGATAAAGTGAACAACTACTTTAAAGAAAAATAGACACTACAGTACCCAGCGCTGATTTTGTAGCGCCCTGATGTGAAATACTATTATTCTTTGTTCATAGTGATTTTAGCCTGTTATATTTTAATTTCAACACACATGAAGGAATGGGCAGCTATTTTGAAGAGAATGAGATACACTATGACAGCATTGTTGACTTCCCTATTGTCTGATCTTGAAGACCTAAAACACCTTCTTCATCTTGTTCAGATCAGTTCTATATTAGGTTGTTTTGTGTGAATTCTCTATATGTGAAGAAATGGACAACTATTTGGAAGAAAACAAGACAATATGATAGATCTCTGGTTGTATTGCTTTGAAATTCATGTCTCCTACATTGCTTTCTTATGTTCTGTTTTGTTAATTTTATCCTCCTTAAAATTTTTTAAAAATGTTCAACATCACTGGTCATTTGAGAAATGCAAATTAAAACAATACTGAGATTCCATCTCACCTCAGAAAGAATGTCAAGAAGTCAACCAATAACAATTGCTGGAGGCGATGTGGAGGAAAATGAACCATTCTCCACTGTTGGTGGAAGTGCAGACTGGTGCTATCAGTGTGAACATCACTGTGGAGATTCCTCAAAAACTAGGCTAAGAGGTCCCATTTTACCCAGCTAGACCCCTTCTGAGTGTATTCCCAGAGCTGAAAATGTTATACCATAGCAATACATATGCATCTATGTTTATAGCAGCACAATTTGTGGTAGTTAAATCTTGGAAACAACCTAAATACTCATTAACTAGTAAAGGGATAAAAAAGATGTTTTTTTTTTTTTTTTACAAAATGGAGTACTACCCAGGCATAAAGAATGATACACTTGGGCTAGGGATTTAGCTCAGTGGTTTAACTGCCTGCCTGGCAAGTACAAGGTCATGTCAATCCCTAGTACCAAAAAAAAATGATATATTTGAGACTTTTACAGGTAAATGGATACAACTCAAGACCATACTCACAGATGAAATAAATGATTCACGTGTGAATAAGGTCTAAAAGGTACAACAGATATTGTAAAATAGAAATTGTTCAAAAGGAATTAGGATGGGTGAAAGGATAAAGGATAATAGAGAAAAGGAAAAATGTAAGTCAGTTATATTACTGTCTCTTACTTCATTAAAAAGATGTGTGCTAATACTGATTGGTGAAATTTTTATGCCCTTATCTTGCACCCTGAGCAACTACTTTAAAGATAACATATAGTGTATTACCTTCTGTTATTCTATTTTGTTATGAAATTGTTTCACTTTTTTTCACAAAATAAAAATATTTTTTAAAAAATAGAACTGATGTGATCAACCAACCATAGAAATCTGGGAACAAAGAATAACAAAGATTCTAAAATAGGGGGCTGGGGGCTTAGCTTAGCGGCATAAGCGCCTGCCTTGCAAGCAGGCAGTCGTGAGTTTGATCCCCGGTACTAATAAAAAGGAAAGACAAAAAAAAAAAGATTCTAAAATAGGAAGACTAGGTGAGTGTGTTGGGTCCTTTATACGTGTCTTCTAAACTAGCTCTTTAAGAAGTGTTCAAATTCATGACAAAGCACAGACATGAAGAAAAAGAGAGAGGTATCAAGTTTAAGGGAAGAGCGGCTTCATCTTTTATTTAAACAGTTTTCAAACTATACCAAGTTTTCAAATCCTTTTTTAGTATGATTTCTTTACAGTTGATAGTAGCCTTTAAAAGAGGTAACTCACATTTTTGTATCCCCATTTTACAGACAGAAATAGTGAACTCAGAACTTAACTTGCTACTAGATCAGTCTGGACATATTGTAAACATCACCTAAGTGATTCCACTACGAGTAAAGTGAAGTATCAATTGTTTTCTTTCTTGAAAGCAACCTTTCCCAACATGTCCAAATGCACAAATCAGTTCACACACTCCCCACAAAACAACACAGCAAATATCAGGTTGGATGAAGAGAAAACGAAGTTGTAAATGTTCTTCCTGTGTCCAACAACAGCCTGAAGTCAACAGTCGTTCAGAAGCCTGAACAACTCTGGCAAGCTCGGTGTTGACTGCTAATCCCAGTTACCCATAAACATTTATCAGGCTGCGGTTTGGCAACAGATTTCAAAGTAGGCAGTCCATAGAAAATGTACAGATTCACTCTTCAAATCAATTAAACGCATGTATTACACCTCATCTCATATTGTCCTTAGAGGACAAATCTTAAGAGAGAAAAATGGCTTTGTTATGAACCAAAATATGTCTTCTTAATGTAATTAGAAAACCTTATTGAAGAGCTTAAGAAATGATTAAAGTATCAATATTTAATCTTCAAAGACTCCATCAGTACAGTCTATGACAGCTGCATAGTGACTGTGAATTTGTTTAACAGTCCCATTTACCTTCTGTCGTAAACTCTTTTTGTATTTATGCTTAAAAATAGATTTAAAAATAAATATACAATTCAAATATTTATATATTTTACTTATGTATTATATGTAGGTTTTATTTACACTCCTCTCTGGGCTCCATGGAAGCATAGATTCTTTTATGTGGGGACCCTATCATTAAGGCTAATGGTGGCTTTATCTTGGAAAGAAAGATACATAAACACTAAGGAACATTTTTCAGTTTTTTGGCAAAACACAAAAAGGAGGGAAAACTATTTGACTCTTTATTTCCAACTGTTTTCAATTTTTGTTAGATCAATGTAAAACCTATTTATATTTTTATAAAACTTGAGTGAAGACAATGAAGAGATAAACACTACTATCTACTTAAAGTGAACTGGCTTTTTACAAACAATATGATAAAAAAGAGAGAAAGAGAAATAAAGAAAAGAAAAACACATATTCTCTCCAGAAGCTGGGGATTTAGCTCAGCGGCATAAGTGCTTGCCTGGCAAGCATGAGGTTGTGAGTTCAATCCCTGGTACAAAAAAAAATAAAGGAAAATAAAAACATATTCTCTCCAGAGAAGAAGTCAGGTGGGCAGACCTCCCACATTGAGTCTCGGTTCTGCTGACGCCCCTCCCATCCCTGCTGTGGATGCCCAATGGCTCCAATGTATCATGAAAGACAAGACTGGTCTGATCTTTACATTTCACACAAGCTTTGAAGAAACTATCAAAGTAGTAACAATCAAGTTATTCTTTGTGGTTACTGTTACCCTCAACCAGTGACAGAAGTGTAGATTCCCACAGCCTATTATTCCTTCACTGATCTATCTACTTTCCTATGAACACATACTAGAGCAAAATGATAAGGCAGGCTAAGGTGCAGCACTGCTTATAATTTGTAGGAGGCAGACATGAAACCCAAGTTCAAAGTGCATAGGTACTGAGTTGATTATTCTACTATAAAAAAGAGGTTTTTTGAAAGCATAAGTGATTTTTAGCAAGTGCTAGGTATCAAAAGGTCTTCATTTTGACTTTACAAAAGTAGGCTCTGTTGTGTGACAAACTTCAAGTGGTTGAAAAACCAACACTACATGCTTTGTAAGCCTAAAATTAACCAGTAGAGCCAAACATGAACATATATTTCAACAGGGGAGTGATAAACGGAAAGTACGGATGATAATACACTAAAGAATGAAAAACTCTTATGATGGCTTATGCAGACAGTGAAAACTCAAACCTTATAACAGTAAAAGTACATGTATTAGTTCTTTCACTCTGAAAGAACCTATGACCATTAAAGCTGCCATGAAGGTCTTTTAACCATTAAAGCTTGATATTATAGTACTAATAATCCATCTTTAACTTCTGTAGGTAATAGAAATTTCTACCAAGATCCTGTGGCATCAAAATATTAATTTTTATACCAAAATTAAGAAGCTCCATGTTAATTGACTAACTTATGAGACAAAAACATACCCATTTAATATCCTACCCCAATTACTTTTCCAGGAAGGGAAGAAAGGGATGCTTGGAAATGCATTAAAACACACTGTTTGGAATAATAAAAAATATCTAGAAGGAAAAAATCAAAGACTAAACAGAATCTAAATGAAATACAGAAAAATAGGAGAAAATACCAAAACTACTTTGCTCTACATGCATATGGACAGCAATCCATGATAATTTCCTATATTACTCTTTGGATATTTAATTCAATTGGTCTTAACTATTTATAAAGTGTGCAACATAATTAGGGAGGATTTGTTTTTAATTTAGCTCTGAAAGAGGCATGAATGCATGTAAATTCTAGTCACAAACCACTGTAGATCATTACAGCAATTAAAAACAACAATTTTTAGTCTTGAGAATCTTCACACAATGTCACCAGCTAACCTTTGGATCCAGGTTTTAGACTTGCAAAAACTTTGGGGTTCTTTAGAGCAAGTGACAACTCATTGAGGAAGGAAATAAAGTGGGAGTCTCTTTCAGATTTCTTTGACTCAAAAATGACCACAATGGTAAAGTGAGGTTCTGGGCGGGTTAGGAAGTAGGTGCTCTGAACTTTGTCATCGTAGAAGTGGACCACTTTCTCCAAGCTGTTCAGGTCAGTCGTGCGGTCTGTCATGATCATGATGACATTGGGCCAGTGCATGACAGGCCTATCGCTGGGCAGAGAAACCACGGCTGGGTACTGGTCCACGCCCTTAGGGGCTTCTCTGTAGGAATGGGGGTGATGATAGCCATGACCCTGAAAACTCTCTGAACCTCGGTTGTCAAAAATTAAGGACACATTGGCAGCATCGTATTTCCTGATGAAGCTGGAAATCTTTCCAAAAAGGTCTGGGTTAGCTTTTGCAGTCAATGCTTTCATTTCTGAAGCAGTAGTTTGTCGGCTCAGTGCCTCGTGAAAATAAAAGCTAAACTTGGCGAGGAGCATGTTTTTGAGTTTCATTAGCCAAAGGAAAAGGTGTGGGGGCTGAACGGCCTTCTGTGACTGCCCTCCAAACAGATGCTTCTTGGTCTCTCGCTGCTTTTCAAAGATTTGGCCCCAGGTCTGCAGCTTGGTGTGAGCACTGTGCAAGTTAACCAGGGAAGGGAGGAACTTCCACTCTGAGACCTGAGCCTGGGCCTTTAGGAGATGACTCAAGACATCGACTTCCAACTGGAAACTGCTCTCCAAAGGACTGAGGATTGGGTGGTGAAATCTAAAAGAGGGAAGGAAATTTGTAGAAATAAGTGGAAATGTTACTCCATGTTGGTATTCTCTACCTTGAAAAAAATCTATGTAACCAGACAAATAGTATTACACTTGAGGGCAGGAGAAGGACAGAAGAATTCTGTTCAGTTATTTTAAAATTAAGATATAACCTCACAATTTCAGAATTATGTCACTATCTTATTCCACAGAAACAGCCTGGCATTTTAAACAATGAGACCTTCTTCTTTTTAAATATAAATAAATTCAGCTATAATTCTTATTTATTCTGGAATTTGTAACTAACATCATCATCAAAACAAATCACCTTCTTTTCAGGGTGTGGGTCTAAAGAGGTAAAAGTAAAAGTCACTAAAACAATTTGAGTGCATACGTAACACAGATAAACTCATTCACTTTTTATAGTAACTCCATGAGGCATTATTAAACCTTCATTTCAGATAAGAACATATTAAATGTTTATTTAATGAATACAGCATTTGTCAGAAAGATCTTACTCCTTTCATATTTATAGCCCAAAGCCTCTTCATATGTAGTCATGATAAAATGGTGGCCAAAAAGAAACATCCAGCATTGTTCACTTTCTATTTATCTTCTAAGGCCTTGAAAAATCTAGCCCTTTCTCAACTTAAACCATGTTTCTATTCTTTTGCCTTCCTGTAAATATTAAATTGAAAATGCAATCAAGATAATAGTATGACTGCATTCCCACTTGTTCTAAACAAAATATCTTTTAGATAGTATAACCATCATCTACATTAAGAAATATCTGTATATTATGAATATGTACATATATGATCCATAAATTTTGTTTCATATTTATCCTTGCTATGTACAATATACTTTATATTTTCTACTATACTAAACATATATTTTAAAAACAGATTACTACTCAAAAATTAATTTCAAGACTCACAGGTTGCTGCTTGCTACCTATAACCATTTTCCCTTCCAGGCAGAGGTGACAGGGACAGTACAAACAGCCTGATGTGAATGACATCAGCAGCTTTTTCATCAGTGCTTCTCTGAGGTCTCCTCAACAGAGGCACTTCCTCAGAAGTCTCTTCTGTCCACTCCCAAAGTCAGGATCTAGTTATATCCTCTAGTTTTTTAATACCATCTTTATAGAAGTCGCTTGATCTTATAATTTATCAGACAATCTGAGACAGTTGCCCTACCTTTAAGTTCCGTCTACAGCACAAATAATAGCCTGCCTATTCCTTTTTCTCTAGAATAGATGGCACAAGTAGGAATCCAGTAAAAGTAGTGGCTGACTATATATTATGACTTGAACTCTACTCTCTGTTTATTGATTTTGCTTGTGACCTAAATGAAGTTCTGTAACAGTGTAATGGCTAAGAAGAGTCCTTCATGTATGGACCACTCAGAGCATTCTTGTTCAGTCTTTTCCTTCTAAGAAATGACCAGTTAGTTTGGTGTCTGCCTAGCAAACCCTGCCTTCTTCTCAACAAGCCCACATCAAGTCTTTTTATTCTCCCTACAGATCAAAAGCACCACCAGAACAGACTGCAGGAATCCTTCAGCAAATAACCCTATTTGAAGGGTGAGGGGAACCATTTGTATTTACTGAGTATATCTTACGCTTCAAGCACTATGTAGATGTTTACAGGCCTACACCCATTTAATATCACTTCGCTGTTAACAGAACAGACATTTGACATACAGCTTGCTTTTTGTTCCTCATGAAGAGGAAAATGCTTGTGACTAATTAAAACAATTTAAAAAATCATCACAAATGTATCTAAAGGGTTTTTAAAAAAAATCTAAACACTAATTAAAGGAGTTATATTTAAGGAAGCACATATTGGGTTGGACACTGTAAGACTAAAACTCATTACTGTGGTAAACAGAATAGTTATTCACATAAAAATAAAACTCCTTTTGATATATTATCCACATTTTATCCTAACCATTCTTCAAGAACAAGTTAAAACATTGGTGCAGGGTCACATCTAATAATATGCAAGATAAACCAGATCTCAAATCTTCTAGCTCACTCTGTTTAAGTAAACTCATCACACATTACGTGTTTTAGAATAAACATTCAGAAAGTCTAATATATAATACACACACACGCACATGTACTAGCATAAGTCTCAAAAATTTTGAACTGTAAGCAAGGGTCCTACCATCCTAAACTTTAGGTTTGTTTACACTTATGAACATTAAGTATCACAATTTTATACTCATGGCTATGGGAAAATCTACCAAGAACTATGAATACAGAAAGTTAACAACAGAAAAGATATATGGAGTTAAAGATACCTGTAATTCATATATTGCTTGACTTATGGAGATTATATGCCAAAATAAATACGTCAAAAATGCATTTAATGGAATCTGGGGAACTAGGCAGCCGGAGGTGAGTACCTGCACACCATCCTGAGCTGGGAAGTTTAAGATCATCACTCCCAGTGGTCAAGGAACTGGCCAGCTTCCCGCCACACTCCACTGGCTCCAGCTCTGTAGGTTTTCAGCCTACTTGCGCCACCCCCAGCGACCCTCTCTCAATCTGGGGAACTGGGCAGCCACAGGTGAGTGTCCACACACCATCCCAAGCCCTGGGACTTTAAGATCATCGCTCCCAGTGATCAAGGAACCTCCCAGCTTCCTGCTACACTCAACTGGCTCCGCAGGTTTTGGGTCTGCTTGGGCCACACAGTAAACTTCTCTCAATCCAAAGAACTGGGCAGCCAGAGTCCCAGGAGCTGAGGGCATAGCAGACGATTTCTAATAGGCCCAGGGGAAGTTTTGAAACAACACTTGAAACAGGGAAATACACGAAAATGACAAAACGAAAGACCAAAATGCAATCTCAAACCTGTAGCCCATCCCAAGAAACCTTAGGAGCTATGTACATAGAAGAAAATATATGCCATACACCTGAAATACCTGAAATAATAGCAACTGATATAAAGAAGCAACTCCAGGAAGCTTCAAAGGAATTCAAAATAGATATAATCTCCCAGGTAAAAGGAGAAATGATAAAAGTAATGAAAGAGATGCTGAACACATCTAAACAAGACACAGTTAAAAAATTAGAGGAACAAAACAAAAAGATAGAAGCCCTGGATGAACAATATAACAAACAAACAGAATACATGAAGCAGATTCAAAGAGATATACAGGAAATCAAAAATTACATTGAAACTTTTCAAAACCTCCTCAACGGAAGTGAAGACAGAATTTCAGACCATGAAGACAAGACTGCAGCTAGTGAACAGGAAAGGAAAGATCTTTTAAAAATAATAAGGAATCAGGAAATAACAATTCAACAGCTGCAAGATGATGCAAAAAAAAAAAAACAAAACAAAAAAAACAAACCATAAGATTGATAGGGATATATGAAAAACAATGGCCAACACAAATGATATCAAGAGGATATTTAGAGAAGTAATAGCTGAAAATTTCCCAAACACGAGAATGGAAACTGACATTAGGATCAGTGAAGCATATAGAACTCCAAATAGCCATAACTAAACTAAAACTACACCTAGATACAGACTGAAAGTCAAAGGATGGAAAACCATACTTCATGCAATAGGAATCCCCCAAAAAGTGGGAGTAGCTATTCTGTTTGCAGACAATGTGAACTTCAAACCAAGAATAATCAGAAGAGATAAAGAAGGTCATTACATACTGGTTAGGGGAAAACTTCAAGAGGAAGAGATAACAATCTGAAATATATATGCACCAAATTCCAGAGCACCCAGTTATACAAAGCAGGTATTAATATAGAAATGAAAATCAAATAAGCAATAACACAATTACAACAAGAGACCTTAACACACCATTGACACCAAGGGACAGATCAACCAGATAGAAAATCAGCAAAGAAATAACAGAACTAAATCACACCTGTGAACAAATGGACTTGATAGACATATACACAGTGTTCCATCCAACAACATCAGAATACACATTCTTCTCAGTAGTACCTGGGACATTCTCTAAAATAGACCATATAATAGCCCACAGAACATATTTAAATAAATGCAAAAGAGTTGAAATTATCCCATGCATGTTATCGGATCATAGAGCCATGAAACTAGAAATTAATGATAAAAGAAACTGCAAAAATCCCACAAACACATTGGAAATTGAATAACACACTTTTGAGCAATCAGGGGGTCACAGGAGAAAATAAAGAAGAAATTAAGAAATTAAAAAATACCTACAAGCAAACAAAAATACAAATACAATTTACCGGAATCTGTGGGTTGAACGAAACCAGTCCTCAGAGGAAAATTTATTGCACTGAGTTCCCACATCAGGAAAACAGAACGAATACAAATAAATAATCTGACACTACACCTCAAACATCTAGAAAAAGAAGAGCAAGTCAAGCTCAAAGCCAAAAGAAGGGAGAAAATTTAAATATCAGAGAAGAAATTAATGCAATAGAGACTAAGAAAACAATCCAAAGAATCAATGAATCAAAGAGTTGGTTCTTTGAAAGAATAAATAAAATTTAATAGCCCCAGCAAACCTTATTAAACGAAGGGAAGATAAGGCTCAAATTCATGCAATAAGGAATGAAAAAGGTGAAATCACTACAGACTCTGTAGAAATACAGAAGATCATCAACACCTATTTCAAAAACCTCTACTCTCATAAATTCAGTAACAGAAGAAATCAACAGATTCCTAGAAACATATGAAATACCAAAGCTAGGTCAAGAAGATAGATGTAAAACTGCTGAATAACCCAATTTCTATTAATGATATTGGAAATGTAATTAAGTCCTTACCTACAAAGAAGAGCCCAGGCCCAGACGGATTCACTGTGGAATTCTACAAGAAATACAAAGAAGACCAACACTCCTCAAGCTCTTCAATGAAATTGAAAGTGAAGCAATCCTTCCTAAGTCATTCCTGGAAGCAAATATTACTCTAGTACCAAAACCTGAGAAGGACCCAACTGAAAGAGAGAACTACAGACCAATCTCCCTAATGAACACAGATGCAA